AATTTCACCAAGTTTCCACCAAGCTTCGCCGCGCGCGCGTCAATCAAGTGGAGATAGCGCCTTTTGATTTAATTCGGAATCCGGGTTAGCGCATTAAATCAAAGGGAATTACATATAGTTCCTTTTGATTTTATTCGTAATCGCTGATTCCCTGTTTTGCGATTTTTCAGGGGCTGATTCCAGGGGATGAAATTAGTATTTTGGGGGCATATTTACGTGTGAGAGCAGCCTATTACATGGAGAATTCAGATCCGTTAAAAACTGAAATTTGGCGCTTAGTTCCCTTTCGTATAAATACGTCCAAATGGTAATTTTACCAAGAAAAAACTGGGATCAAGTAGAACCCTGAATTCTTGGTAATTTTACCCTTTTCTTAGTAAATACACCCGAGATTTTTTTTTCAGTGCGTTGCATCGGAAGCGCCGCCGCGTGCTGCCAGCGCGAAACGCGCACTACGCTGAGGATCAACGGGACTCTAAACAGTGGTGAACGGTAACAGTTGACTTTCACACGTTAGTGCGCCTTCAATTACATTTGATACTGTGCAATACTTTCGTGGTGGAATAGTTGCATTGGCGCCTACAAACTCAAGGGGATACTTCAAGCATCGCGCAATGCGTGAAGTATCCCGTAGGTTTGTAGGCGCTAATGTGTGTTCCGAGCAGACAGCACGCCGCGCCGCAGATTGCCAAATACTTGCCCACATTTAATAGGCCAGGATTTTAAAATCTTGGCAATTGGACATCAAATTCGAAAATAGCGACTCAAAAAATATCAGGTACGAAACTTTCGTGATCTTTCAGTCATCATCCGACGGATTTCTTCTTATTCTTGGGTTTTCGACCATGGTGCGACTCGGGTGGCGGCTCATGAAATTCTCCCTTGTGCTCAATCGCTCTATGCTGACAATGTCTTGTTGCGCAGATACGGCATACAAGTTTTAAGAAAGTTAAGATTTTAAGAAAGTTTAAAGTTTAAGTTTAATGCCCGTTTTCGTCTCTCTAATCTTCGGTTATGTTGACACTGAATTTTAAGCACTCATTCGATAGGAAGCGCTTTTAAACGATTCAATGCTTGAACATGATCGCTTCTTCCGATCAATTTGCTACTCTAAGGATCTGTGGTTCCCCGTTTGATCGAAGCGAAAATATCGCGATCTATCGCAATCGCATGCTTCAAATGGTCCGTTTCTGTTGAATTGCTTCTGAGCGAAAGAACAGTTCAAATGAGCAATTTTCCAAAACCCGGGCTCATTTCAAGCGCAACTCATTTAACTTTTGGGTATTATTAATGAAGAAACAGTTTTTATACGCGTTCAAAGTTTTATACGTCGATTAATCGATTACTCGATTGTGAAGTTATGAAAAACCTAAAAAGAACTCGGCTGATTAAAGACGTGTTAATTTTTCCTCTCACGGCATTGCAATATTTCCACTCGCCTCCGGTCGATTGAATTTAATAGATAAACTGGATTACATTTTGCAAGAAGGAACCACTATCTCTAGCTCTTCCATAAAAGCACGTATCTGCATAGGGAAATCAAAGGCATATATGTTGTTTCTAAAATGAGCCAGAAATAGTGGTTCCTTGTTGCAAAGTGTAATCCAACTATTCGAGGGAACATTGAATCACTTCCTTATCCGGTATCCGAGGGCTGGAGATATCAGCTTGTTTTATTTTAAGCCACCTGGCTGATTTTTTAGCGGTAAATGCGTGGATAGATGCGTACGCTTACCTGCGGCGACGACCTGGAAGAGGCAGGGGAGTGCCTGGGTGCCGACGGAGTTGCGGCCCCAGCAGGAGAGGGTGCCGTAGTCCATGTCGGAGACGGGGGTGTAGTTGAGCCGGGAGACGGTGCCGGCGTTGGTGCCGGTTGTGTACTTGTGCGGGGGCAGCTGGACGAGGTCTCCACTGTTGTTGAACGTCCACGTGAAGAGCACCGACGCCGGGTTCGCGTCCACCTCGCATCGCAGCTGCACCGTCTCCTCCCGAACGGCCCCCACCAGCTCGTCCAGCTCCGATAAACACACCGGTGCATCTAAAACAAACATAAGACACGGGTTTCATTAGAGTACCTATATTGAGAGAGTATGGCCACTGGGCCCCATGGAGATTGGAGATGCTTAGGACCCAAAAATGGCGGTGCTTTGTTTTGGTTTTTGTGGATGGGAGGGGGGTCATTGCCAACTTTTGACGGTTATCACCAACCGCACAGGCTGCCAACCTTACTACTTATAAGATAATTTTTCTTGAAAATTGCACACGATTAGCCTTAAAATTATGTAAAGATGTCGCAATAGTGCATTTGAGTAAATTTCTCGTTACGATAAGCAAAGAAAACTACATTTTGAGTCATTTTGCATTACATTAATTTATGGCGTCCGCCATTTTTGGGTCCTAAGGGCTCCATTCAGCCAAAGATGGCTGAGCCAATCAGAGGTGGTAACCCCAGTGGCCATACTCTCTCAATATAGGTACTCTAGGTTTCATTAGAGTTCCTTTCATATAGATGAAAAAAATGTTTAAAGGAAAATCTACTCGTACAGAAAAGATATCAACATGGATTTCAAAAATTAATAAGGTCTCAAAGGCAAGAATAAGAAAAACGTCTTCGAACATATCTATGGGATCAACACACAATAATACGACGCGAACCGAACGTTTCCGACTTTCTCCGAGCACATACTGAAAGTTCGGTGTGAATTACCGAATGATCGGTTTCCATGACCTTAAAAGTTCGGTGAAACCTTACCGAACTCGGTTGGTAGTGTGTTCTAAGCGCCGCATAATGCCGTTTGGTTCGGAAAACCCAATACTTAGGTTTGTGTCATCGAACGACCGTACACCAAAAGGTTCGGTTAAAATCACCGAACTTTTTCTTTCAGTGTACAGCTTTCCAGGGATTTTCCAGATTATGTTACCTGTAAAGCCAGAGTATGGACAGGCTATGTGCAACTTCAAAAATTCATTAGACACCCAGTGATGCCTCCGCGAATAGGGTTAGAGCCCAAAATGGCAGCTAACCTACCATTTCAAATGGATCAGTTGCGCTGGTCACAGAAATGTGTTTTGATGCTTGATTCTAGTCGATTAGCTGTAAATATTATGATCTGTCCAAACCGCAACTTTCTACGTTCAATACTAACCTAGATATCGCCCCTTGAAAAGTCGGGGTTTTGGGGTCATCCACCGCGAAGGGTGACACCCTTGGTTTCTTTCACCTTGGTTTCATCAGTCACGGAGACACACATTAGCACTGGTTACTCTACGTGAAACGCGAATGAAAGAAAGGTGGAAGAAACCTAGGGTGTCACTACCGGAGTATGGATGACGTCAAAAACCCAACTTTTCAAAGGGCGATATCTCGATGAATATTGAATGTAGAAAGTTGCAGTTTAGACAAATCTTAATATTTTTAGCTAATCCAAAAGAATGAAGCATCAAAACACAATTCTGTGACTAGCGCAACTGGCGGCAGTTTCGTTGTGCAAATCGTGTTCAACGTAAAATTTTGACTTTGGCTACACGTATGAGAATGCTTCAATTTGCACCTTGCCTACTTGTCCATTTTCCATTCTCGATTTCTGGACTCCCCAAGCAGAGCAAGATCAGAGATGGAAAATTTCATGAAATTTCATAAAATATATTGAAACTTCTGGGGATACATTCAGGAGGCTAAGAAACGCCTAGAAACAGTGGTTCTAAATTTTGAAATTTTTTACCCTAAGCCTAAAACATTCGCGCGTTGCAAATGTTTTCGTTTAGTTTCGAGGTTAGGTTGGGGATTTTCTCTCTAAACTCCCCTTTTTGCCCCCTCTTTGTGTCTGGCACCTTCAGTACAGTAGCATAACACCGCAGCATCAACAGAAAGACCATCTGAAACGCTTTCAGACCTCCAAAGGTTCAATCAATAATTCTAAAAAAATTAATAAATTTCAACTTTTGTGAAATTTACTCGAGCCTTATGAAACTTCACGTGAAATTTCACTCTCCACCTCTAAGCAAGATACATCATCTGAGTAATCTATTCACCGTGGCATCGGAGCAGCGGAGGAGAGTACTGCCGCGCTAAGGAAGAACGCCGTATGAACACTCGAGAGTTGCCAAATTTCCTTCGATAAAATGTCTATTTTGGAGGAAAATTATGAATATTTTCCCTTGAAATTTTCAGGAACTTAAGATCAAAATACTAACGAAATTCTCTGAAAAATTGGAATAAAAATATTCATAAGTTTTCCAGGGAATTCGTATTTTATCGAAGACAATTTGGCAACACCTGATGGCTCATACGGCGTTTTTCCTAAGCACGGCAGAGTAGTGGAGCCGCGGAGGAAGTAAGGAGGAGAACTATCGAAACCTGGATGTAACTCGACTCGTGACCGGGGAAGTTTTGCTTTGTCTGCGTTGTTTGGACAGGGATAATGAGAAAACGAGGGGGATCCCGCGGATCTTCTCCCGCAACTTACTCCACCGTCTTCTGCTCCATTGACTCCCCGAGTTTGTTCTGGACTCGCTAAGATCCCAACCGTGGAGAGCTCACGACTTCCCAACTCTCAAAGAGGGCTAAAAACCCAAGCCACGGCCACGGACAAAGAAAAGGATGTATCCGGATGAAAATGCCGAAATCTCCGAGGATTCTTGGTTTTGGTCATTCATAAAACTAGGGGGCACGCCCCCCAGTCGCTATGTGGCCCAACCTGGAGTCCCTTCATAGAGAGAATTGAGACAACGCGGCTTATGAATGTCACGAACGGGAATAAAGATTAGATACACAAATCGCACGTTTTTTGTAATCTTTGATCAACCCATTCCTGAATAGCATAGGGTCTTAGTTCCCTGTCTCATTCCATTTTTTCCTTGTCATACCCCTAATTCCCCGGTCCATTCCAGTTTATAATCTTTGCAATTGATGAAAATGTAATCTTTATTCCCGTTTGTGACACTCTGAAAGCTTAAAATACGGGAACCAATCAGAAATGGATTCCCATCGTCCTTACTCTCAGTATAAATGGACTCTAGCCCAACCTAGAGTACCTGTACATGGGAGGGTATTGCCATCTCTGTGCCGCTCTCTGATTGGCTCATCAGTTTTACGTTATCATAGGGCTCCAAAGTTTGACCAAACCCGACCTGGAGGAATACGTATTATCGGCTGAGAAATGAATGATAATTACATTCAATGGTTAATCTTTGGCAAAAATATCCATTGAAGGTCGATCCGAGCTCAATTCAGAAATGCATCATAAAACAATTTCTATCACATCCAAAATCACGTCTAGAACTTCGTCGTCATCTTGTTTGTTTACATTTGTCTATAGCTTTGCGACTCCATGGTAGCAAACCAACCAAGAAATATTGCTTGAATTTATTGTAAAAAAAACCTCTGAGAGGAGATCAATCAGCGGGTAATACAATCAGGCTGATTCTAATTATTGCCCCGGTAATTTTAGCGAAAAACCCGACTGTTTCTGATCGTGAACAACATTACATAAAATTCCAGGGACACATTTCAGAGACACCGAGGGGAAAAAACCCCGACTTTAAATACATAATTTTTATAAAAATCAACAGAGCCAATCGCGTCGGGAGCGCGGTGGGAGTGAAGGGGGGGCGAGAGGGGGAGGCAGCTGAAAAGCACTCGACCCTTCTTGTAAGCGTCGATCTCGAGAGCTACTACAGCGGAGCGGGGGCTGAAAAAACCACTCGATACACATTTCAGCATGCAAACAGAATTAATTCGTTACCCGCCCCGGCTGAGAGGAGCGTTCAGATTATGAAAACATTTGATACCATTGATTCGACCCTGTGCAATCAATGCAGCGCAGCTTCAATCTTGGCGCGGGGACCCGTGATATATGGATCCATCGGGGTTGAAACCGCGTAAGTTCGATTTTCGATGAGCTTTGAGTTCCGTAAGAATCGATGTATTCTAGGGCTCGTCGGATGGAGGGTTGGGTGGTTGGGATTGACGGGTTCTATTAGCTTGTGAATTTTGATTCGAGGCGGAGCAGCCGGAGGGAAACTTTGTGCTTTTCCGTGTTTGACTTCCTTGCTCGAAGGGAGGAAGAACCAGGGTTCGATACGTTACGTCTCGGCGCAGATGCGCACGCTGATGTCGATCACATGGTGGAATTTATGGACGGAAGAGCAGTGGCACGGTGTGAACGATCGAATTTCGATATATCCCCCATTTGAAGCTGTGGTAAATAATCGATTATTAAGGCGTTCGCTGCGAACACCTTGTTTATCGATACTTTTCCATAGGTGTAAACGGCAGATCATTCGATGTATCGTAAAACATGCGAAGCCACTGCGGAAGAGATATGCGATGAACACGATTCTGATGTGGTATAGTTTATTTCACTCAAATATGACAGATTTGGGGTTTTTAGATCAAAGGCCCATTATGGTTCGATAGCATGGGTTACTGAACCATTAACGAATGGAGAATTTGCAGGTTACTGGAATTTGATGAATTCCGTGTTTAAGTGGACTTTACAAAGTTAGCTGAACACGAGGATACCCTTGGTACATAAATTGAACAATTATCGGAGGAGATATGACAAAATAACCTAATCTGCTAAAATGCGTGTGTTTAAATGGGAAATGCTGCCAGATGACGTCACTAGGCGGTGCATTCTCTCACTTTTCAAACTAGTTTTATACTATTTCCCATTGCAGAAATAAATTATAAAAAATACTGCAAAATCAGCTCTTTAGGCACCTTCAGATGAAGCAATGTTTTATTCGCTTAAGCAGGGTAGAAACATTTCATGAAATAAAATATCTTGAAATTTCAAGTGAAATTTTACATGACATTTCAGAAATTTATGAAATATATTTACATATACCTGTTCCTTTTCTTGTTTCGCAAAATATAAAAACGATGCCTTCCTCCTATTTTTGTGAGTGTTTGAGTGCGGGTTGCATACTCTAGCCCCTGAGAAATATGAAATTTCACAGCCTCGTGAAATGTCATAAAATATTTCTCTGAAATTCCAATCCTTCATTTCTTCCTTACCTTTCACCCCACCCTGC